GCCGAGCTGTGTCTGGCCCTGCGCCGTTTCCCCCCACACGCGCCTGGGAGCAGGTTCCCCGCAGCCCCCGGTTGCCCTCCACGGGAGCGCCTTTGGCACGGGCTTTGCTGAGTCCGCGTTGGGGGCCCCCCTTGTGGGGGCCTTTCTGCTCCAGGAGGCGGGTGCTGTGCTCAAGTCTGGTTGGGATGTTTCTGGAACTAGGTCCCCCATGTCCCTCTAGCAGGCATGAGGTGACCACCCAGTGGTGTGGGAGCAGCCAGCAGCTTTCTTTCAAACTGTCTTTGAGCTAAATATTTGGGGTTCTCACGCTGTGCTCTGGGGTGTCCTCAAATCCCGGGGCTCCGTGCACTGCTGGCACCTGCATCTGCGCCTGGGGGTTCCAGCCTGCAGAGGGCGCAGTGACAGCAGCCAGGGAGCATGTGTGACCCCCCCTTTCCTTCCAGCACCCTGAAACTCTGGGACTACAGCAAAGGGAAGGTAAGCAGCAGAGATGACCCGCCGGGCTGGATGTATGGAGGCCGGGTGGAGTTCTGGGTGATGGCTGAGCTGAGCGGGATCTGGAGCTGGGGGGACTCAGAGAGCCATGTTCATTGAGTTGCCACCCAGTGGTTTTCTCCAAGACGTGGGTGTTCCAAGACGTGGGTGTTTGCAGCTGGCACGGCAGCTCTGACCACGTGGGTTTGTGCTGTGGGCATTTGAGTGCTTTTCACAATGACGTTGGGTTGGCCTTAAAAGGCGAGCACTCAGCATTCGGGAATTGTCAGGAGGCAGGGATGCGGGCCTCTGACCGCGCACGTGTCTTTTCAGTGCCTGAAGACGTACACGGGGCACAAGAACGAGAAGTACTGCATATTTGCCAACTTCTCCGTGACGGGGGGGAAGGTGAGTTCTCCCGTCCTTCCCAGGGCCATCCTGAGAGGCCCCTGTGCACAAAACGATACACAAAAACCGGAAACAAAGCCACACGCCGCGGAGTTGTGGCCGTCACTCAGAAAGAGGCTGTCATGACTCGGGTGCTCCTGGACCTGACAGCCCCGTAAGTTGGACCTGGCACAGCTCCCAGGAGCGGTGGGCACGGCGGGCGTCTGAGTGGTCGCCTAGCGGGCCATGCTGCCCAGAGCCGGGGCCGCCCAGAGCCGGGCCCCAGGCCATGCTGCCTCAGTCCGGGGGAGTGGGACGGAGGAGATGTGACATTCAGCTCAAATGTCAGCGACACAAAACCTACGAAGTGGTAACTGAAGAAAACGTTTTACATCCTAGATGCCCCTGTGTGTGGCTGTTTCTGAGTGGCGCGCGGGAGGGGGTGAGGACAGTGCTCAGTGCGGGAGGGAGGGGTGAGTTCCGGGGCTGTGGGAAACTCCCTTCACCTCGTCCCTCTCTGCCCAGTGGATCGTGTCCGGCTCAGAAGACAACCTGGTGTACATCTGGAACCTGCAGACCAAGGAGATTGTGCAGAAGCTGCAGGGCCACACAGGTGAGCTGCCCGGGCCCTGCCCGCAGTGAGGCGGGTGAGGTAGTGCTTGGCCCGGGGACGCTGCCCGTTGGGGAGTGGCTGGCCAGCGACAGGTCCTGGCTCCCGCCTCCTCCCCTCGGCTGCCTGGCCTCGAGTCCATGCGGCTCTGTGGCTTCTCTGTGCCGGCGGCCTGTGCGCTGGCCCGTGCCCAGTGTGTCCCGGGAGTGAGGACGCCACTGTCCATTGCAGGCCCTGCTCCTAGGGCTCTGACCTCCAGTCAGGCCTGTTCCTTAGTACTCAGGGGCCCCTCCACCCCCTCACTGGCTCCTCAGCATTCGGGCTGCCCCTGTCCCAGCTGCCTGTCCCCCCCATACCCATCTTCTATAGTCAGTAGAGTGGTGTGTCCCCTGAGAAGCAGCAGCACCCCCACATGGCTTAACCCCAGAGGCGAGGGGCACCGATGTGGCCTGCTCTCCCTGGGGCGCGGCACTCTTCGGGGGCAGCCGGGGCGGATGCGCTGCTCCCGAGGGCATGGGGGAAGGTCAAGTTCGGGGTTTCAGCCTTTGTAAATCCAGGGCATCGAGCTGCCGAGCCTGGTGCCTGCCCCTGTGATGGCACGGACTTGCCTCCTGTGACAGCAGCCCTGAGGGCTTAGCCAGGCGGCGGCGGGAGGGTGGGCGTGGGCTCGGCCCCACTGAGGGTGTTGTCCAGGCAGAGACCACCTGTGACCCAGCCTGGTGTGGCCTCTGCCCGCAGCGCCTGGTCCCCCTCAGGCCTGTCGTCCCCTTGCAGGCGGACTGGCGCCCAGGCGCTGCCTTGCAGGCTCCCCGCCCAGGTGCCCGAGGCTGTTGCAGGGACAGGCTGTGCGATCCGGGGTCAGTGCTGGGCGGGGAGCGGCCCCCGGGCTGTTGCCGGTCCCTGTGCAGGGCGGGAGCCTGTGGACCGTCTCTTGTTTGCAGACGTGGTGATCTCGACGGCGTGCCACCCGACGGAGAACATCATCGCCTCGGCCGCGCTGGAGAACGACAAGACCATCAAGCTCTGGAAGAGCGACTGCTAGGCCCGCCCGCGGCCGGGTGACCCGATGGGCAGGGCGGGGCCTGGGTTCCCCTGGTCCAGGCTGGGGGTCGGGGTGGGGCCTGGACCCCTCTGAGGACCATTAGGCCAAGGGGAGAGTTCCCACCAGAAAGTTTAGAGGTGACATTGCCGATTCCTCTCACTGGGAAGAGTTCCTAGTCTATTGTGTTCCGTCAACAAAACTTTTCATTTTTTATGACAGAAGGTGAGGTGAAGTTCAGTTTGTCGCGGTGTTTTCCCAGTAAGCGTTCTGTCCTGTTTTTGATGTTTTATTGCCCGTGCCAGCGCTGTGACCAGTCGCCTTGGCTCTCTGCCCGGCTCCGCAGGTCCTGGCTGGCAGCAGGCACTGCCCGACCCGGTCCCACTGCCGCCGGCCCTGCCCGTAGTGGTTCCCCGTGTGGTTGTCTGGAACCCAGACCCTGTGAGGCCGTGTCTGAACCCTCGTGCTCGGGCGCTCGGGGCTGGTGTGTGGTGTCCACACAGCACGCCGCGCCGCAGGCAGGGAGCAGGCGGGCCCTGGCAGCGGGCTCCCGGCAGCTCCTCTCCCTGCTGTTGGCACATGCACAGACTTGGTCCAGGCCGGGACGGGGCCCTGCA